CAATTGAAATGGGATAGAAAACTATCGATAACACAAAGGAGGAGCAGTTGGATTAGGAGTAACCGTTTAACATATGCCATATAATTTTCAATAGAAATAATGGTATTACAATATAAATGGCATAAAAATGACAGCTTAAAGCTTATTGAACCGCCCAACCGATTCCTTATTGACAAATTGAATCAAAAGTGTTGCATAAGAAGCTCTTAAAGCATTGAGCGTCATTCGCATTTGTAAACAAGGGCGCAGAGCTTTGTTGTAAACACGATTTCCTTTGGCTAATTGCCAACTGGGCGACTACGTGGGGGTTCCTGCTTCATCTTGCGTTTGCTTCTCTTGCATATTGACATCCGGTTTCTGTTTCACTTGCATTTGTTTTTATTGCTATTGTTGTTGCTGTCTATCGATAAGTGAGTGCACTGAGTTCTGTTTAAGGGTTGATCGACCGCCTGCGGGAGTGAGGGTGGGCCACGTTGTTGAGAGTTGCCCAATTTGCCCACTTGACGTGTCCAAACTCGATTAAGCACCGGGAAATAAGGATGACAAAGTGCAGTGGCCACCCTTAGCTGAATCGTTCATTGGGGGTGAGCTGGTTGCAAAGAGTTGCCACATTGCTTAGATTAAATCAAGGATAATGTTATATGTATTTAGATGTATTATGCATTTCATGTTTCTATAAGCTATCGATATTTTATCGATTAATATTCTATGCCTAAAACACTAAATATGACTTGATCAATTATCGACTGCTATCGATAGTCTTAGAAAATTATCTAAAATCTAATAAATACCATAATTTAAATGTGAGCTGTCAGCAATGATCGATTTTTATCGAAACAATCGATAGTCATCAATATCTGCAAAAACTGTCTAATGCTAAGCCTATACTTGCACACATTTATTCGCCAGCTATCGATAGTTATATAAATATTTGTAAATTCGATAACTCTCGATAGCCACCAGTCCAAATGCATATGCTTAGCTGTTTATTTATCGATAATTCCTGATTTGTATTCTGATGTATGTATACATATGCATAATGAGCATCGATAACCGCTAGATCGATAACAGCCAATATCGAGCTGTATATCTGTAAACAGAGCAATGGGCATTGTTTACATCGTCTGGTAACGCCGAGAGGATTGCAACCCCCAAATCTAAACTAGTTGCAACTACCAAGTGGCATAGATTCGCATGGACACAGGACGCCCACCCATCCACCCTAGCAGCACGCATTGGGCGCAGCCGCAAAGAGAGCCACGCACACAGAGAGTGAGAGAGCGAGAGAGAGCCGGTCAGCGTACCGTTAGCCAGGAAAGGCCAGCGAGAGAGCCAGAGAGAGACAGAGAGAGACGGAGAGAGAGAGAGCGCGCATTAAAGTGGGCTCATTAAAGTTTCATGGGCTGTTCTTTTCGCGTGCTTTTTGTTGCTGTCCTGGCTTGAGGAGTTTTTGTTATTCTTGTTTTTGGGGCATGTTTTGCTTGGGCCAGTGCGCCGCTCTGTTCAGCTCCGTGCCTTGAGTCGTGCTGAAGCTGTTCCAGCAACGGGAGAAAGCCATAATAATACAACCAGGAATAATAAAAGAACAGCATAAATAACAAAAACCAAATACAACAACAATAAAGTGTTCAAAAACTCGGGGATTTTTATTTTTTTGTTTTTTCAATAAACAATACGAAAGTAAACCTAAGCATAAAATTAAACTCTTCAGTGCCAAGAAAAAGGCAAGGCCCATTAGATACTGAAATAGGCGGCGCATTTGGATATATACATACACGAACCAGGCAACGAACCACAAATCAACACACACAGCGCCATGTGTAAGTAAATTACACACACAAGCACACACGCACACACATGGATGTGTGGGCAGGTGGTAAAAAAGGAGTGGGAGGGCGGGTAATGGGGGGGAGCGAATGCATTGCATATTGTGAAGTAGCTTGTGTGTTGGCACTTGAGCTAAGCGGGCGAGCAATTTCATTTGTTTCGCACTAATGAGCAAATGGAGCTGGCACTCAGCTCGCTCGCGGGCTGCACGTGCCCCACTGGCGTGCCGGAGTCGTCCTGGCAGGGATTAAGCACTTCATTTCCCACTCATATTTATCTGCACGTAATGAACATACACAATTCATAAGAATCACCCACTCTTCTTCTTCATCGCAGCAAAGACGCCGTCATTTGATAAGGATCGGGACTACATTGGCTTTGCCACGCTGCCGGAGCAGGTGCATCGGAAGTCGGTGAAGCGCGGCTTCGAGTTCACGCTGATGGTTGTGGGTGAATCGGGCCTGGGCAAGTCCACGCTCATCAACAGCCTCTTTCTGGGCGATCTGTACAAGAATCGCACGGTGCCCAATGTGGAGGAGCGCATCGAGAAGACGACACGGATCGAGAAGAAGACCATGGACATCGAGGAGCGGGGCGTGCGCCTGCGCCTCACCGTGGTGGATACGCCCGGGTTCGGGGATGCGATCAACTGCGAGGATAGCTGGCGCGTCTGTACCCAGTACATTGACGAACAGTTCCGGCAGTATTTCACCGACGAGAGCGGCCTGAATCGACGCAACATACAGGACAATCGTGTGCATTGCTGCTTGTACTTTGTGCCGCCCTGGGGACACAGGTGAGTGCAGGCGAACCACGCAAATCCAAATACCAATTAATTCTTTTATATTTCGGATTCAGCCTGCGGCAGATGGATTTGGATTTGATCAGGCGACTGCATCGAAAGGTGAACATTGTCTTGGTCATTGGCAAGGCGGATTGCCTGAACAAGACGGAGGTGCGCAACCTGAAGGAGCGCATCCTGCAGGATCTCGAGGACAATCACATACAGCTGTATCAGTTTCCCGAGTGCGATTCCGACGAGGACGACGACTTCAAGCAGCAGGACCGTGAGCTCAAGGCATCCATACCGTTTGCCGTTGTCGGCAGCAACACCATCTTGGAGGTGGCTGGCAAGAAGGTGCGCGGCCGCCAGTATCCGTGGGGCGTGGTCAATGTGGAGGATGCGGAGCATAGCGACTTTATAAAGCTGCGCACCTTCCTCATATCGACGCACATGCAGGACCTCAAGGACACCACACAGGTGAGTCGATCGGTTACGAGAACTCCAAGCGCCAATTCAATCTGCTTGCCTTCACAGGATGTGCACTACGAGAACTTTCGGGCGCAGTGCATCTCACAGATATCGCAGCATGCGCTGCGTGAGCGCGGCAAATTGAAGCGCGACTCGATCAGCTCAACGAACGGGTTCGATGCGGCCATCTCGGAAACGGATCGCCTGCTGCTGCAGAAGGACGAGGAGATCCGACGCATGCAGGACATGCTCACGCAAATGCAGGAGAAGCTCAAGCAGACGCATCTCATGGAGATGAAGAAGAACGACAGCGTCATCGATGTCTAAACTTCGCGTGTTCAATTTTGCATCTTTCATATATGTATACATATGCATATGTATATATAATACTTATATAGACTTTCCCTCTATACAGAAGCATACACATACCCACACACACACACACACACATACATTTGCACACATACGTGGGCAGCCAACCACCAAAAATTTACGTCTTTAAGGTAGCAGCAGAGTTTCCAGTTAACCAAATTTCGTTAAGACAACTTCAAACCAAATCCAAAATGAAAACAAAACAAATTAGAATTTGTTCCTCTTCTTAAACAAAAAATCGCTTACAATTTACAGCTGGGTCTCGCCCAGCTCAGCTCATTGACCAAACTCTTTTTGCATTTCTCTAGAAATTAGCACAAACTAAGAACGAATAAGAAATGAAAAGCAAACGCTTCGCTGATTTTCTTCTGCAAAAAAAAAAAAATTAAAAAAAAAAAACAAACAAACAAACAACGTTTCAATTGTTGATCGTAGACTTAACTCAATTTGACTCGATAAAATAATGCATACAAATTACAATTACCAAGTGAATTTTTTAAACGAAGAGACTAAACCTAAAACGTAGCTACGTTCATACCACAAGCAATTCCACAAACAGAAAACAAAAACTAAAATGAATATAAACAACTTAAAATAGAGATCGCAGTGCACGTATTATACCAAAGTAAAATGAGTTTGAAAAACTACACGAACTAACAGAACAAACCGGAACAAGAGGCAAACAAATAGATACATAGACACATATATATATATAAAGATAAATCTATATATATGGGATT